GTTGTTGTCAAGTGTCATCAAGTCAGTTCTGACTCATAGTAACCCTGCATAGAGTTTCTGGGGATCAGCTGGTGTGTTTGAACCACCAACTATAGTCGTGCACTTATTCTAAAGTGCCACACCAGGGCTCCTACAGGTCTGAAAATCAACTCACGCCATGGCTCAATTTTCATCCAAACAAAAGACAAGTCCACAGGGAGAACAATATACTGCGGAGATAAGCATCATAGAATAGCCAACCATCTGAGATTAAAAGGCAGCATTTGCCCAAGGACAAAGTTCAGAAACTATTTAGGAAAGATGACTGGAAGCAGAAAACACAGGGAAGCAGTGGGGTAAGAGATATTTCCTTGTGCATTTTGCAGTCAATGAGATGAAACACAATGTGTCTGAATTGAATTGTATGATCTGCTCTGTAAACCTTCATCTAATCCTAGTGTGGTGCTGTAGGATAAACACAAGACTGCTAGCCACAGGTTGGCAGTTCAAACCTACCACCCACTCCTTTGAAACCCTATATAGGTCACTATGTGTCAGAACTGACTCGATGGCACTTAACAATTCACACACAATAAAAAGAAAAAAACTATTACTACTGTATTTTCTCAAAACAATTTCACAAATATTAGCATATTCTAGATCATATGAGTGACTATCATATAACTAAGAAGCAAGTTTGAATAAAACAACGTGGACTAATGAGAAAAAGAGTAAAAGTGGACATATAGGTAAACAACCCTTTATTGCCAAGTGAAGTCCAAATGATAGCAAAGTTCGCTGTACAAAGTTTTCATATCATTTCAAAAAGAAGTAGGTAAGTACTATAAGAATGCTGAGGTGCAAAAAGGTATCCCTTAGGAGTCAGCACTATATTCAGGATGTGAGCACCAACACCATCAGCACTGGGTAACCACAAGATTTTTTTTTTCTTTAAAAAGGGTACATACATTCCACAAGACTGAGAAACCCTGTTTGTGGGAAAGCAAACTTACTAGAACAGTGTAATCATCTGATGGACAGCACTGCTTATCATCAAGAATTTAGTGAGAAAGGAGTTAAAATATTTTCTTTAGGTAGAAAATATTCATAAGGCAGCTAGAAGAAAGGACTGGGTGGCTACACTCATATCTAAGAGATAAACAGCTAAATTTTGATCAATTAATATTATTTAAAGCCATGTTAAAATAGAAAGTCTCGGCTTCTTTTCTTTTTATATAAGTGATAATGGGAAAACATATTAGTATTCCCATATAATTTCTCCATACAGAAGCCTCTCTATTCCCGAATACGTTTCTGTAAAGCTCTTTATGAATCCACGTGTTCATACATTCTAAGTGGCTTATGGAGAGAGAGAGTTTAAGACTACAGACTTTAGATGTAGTTCTACTAAATCAGACTGCCAATTTTCTTCTGCAGCTTTAAATTCAGGCATATTCTTTTCCTCCCTGGTAAAAAATGTACAGGTGCCTGTATATAAGGAGACTTCAAAGAGTTCCTGGAAATATTAAATGAAAAGATAATGGAACCTTGGAATAAATGTAACCAGAGAAACAAAGGACCTATACAGAGAAAACTACAAAACACTACTGCAAGAAACCAAAAGAGACTTACAAAAATGGAAGAAAATACCATGCTCCTGGATAGGAAGACTCAACATTGT